TGGCAACGGGAGTAAAGCCCTTTTATTGCCTGGCCTGAACCTTACCCATTCTGATTATGCAGATCACTTCTTTAGCGTCTTAATGTTTTTTCCCGAATATTTGTAATTAGGAGGAGAGCTCTACGCCAGTGTCTATAAAAAATTATGCGTTTATTTGTGAGCGTATAAATATTGTGCTTTTTAAAGAGTCACACAGTGAAAGGTCTGAGAGCAAAAAAGAGGGAGGAGGGGGGGGGGGGGGAGAAAGAGAGAGAGGAGAGAGAGAGATGTGTGTGTATATATGTGTTTGTGTGGGTATGTGTGTGTGTATGTATATACAGATAGATAGATAGATAGATAGATAGATAGATAGATAGATAGATAGATAGATAGATAGATAGATAGATAGATAGATAGATAGATAGATAGATAGATAGATAGATAGATGTTATTTAGACAGGCAGACAGACAGACAGACTTACACGTAACGATAAATTGAACAAAAAAACTGGACGATCTATCGTTCACGCGACAAATCGTTGTGCGTAACTGCAAAATTGCATAAAGATTGGATGATTGGACGATGACATGGAGACTCAGTCGAGAAATTAAGCGCCGCCTGGTGTTTTTTGTGCGGTCTCGATCAGATTTGAGTGAGACGAGCGGCAATGCAGAATTCCTTGAATATTTGCCACCTCGCAGAATTTAACTTCGGGCCCCTTTTTTATGATTGTGGCAGCTAAAGACTGATTTCATATTCGAAATCGGCGTGTCAAAATAGGCTTGGTAGTTTGCAAGGAGCCTGATTTGATGCGATATATATAAACTTAAGAAAAATTGATCGTCAAAGGTCATTTACTTCAATTTGCGTATCAAGGTTATCCAGTGTGTTGCCCGTCTACAATCATATCAAAGCTTCTACACGCAACACATTATGGCAACCTTGTGTCAAGACACTACTGTGTTAGTTTTTTTTTATGCACAGGTCCCACGAATGTCTGTGGAAAATCAAATACAAAAACTACAGATTATTAAGAGAGAGAGCATACGATGAACGATGAGTTATTTTTTCAGAATGTTAAAATCTTGATGCAACGAAAGACATTGTGATTAGAAAACTTTAAAATCTGAGAACAACTTTTACGAAAGAACTGCAAAAACTAAGAGACCTAAAATTGTCAGGGGCAGGATCTGATCACGCCCACCTCTGCAATGTGGTTGTGTGGGTGAAAATATTATTTCGCTTTAAAAGCCAGTCTTTTGTCCAAATAAGCCCCGTTTTCTTTTATTTCTTTTGTTCAGCAGCAGCACGTAGAATGAAAACAAATTGCCGTATTCGCAAAGGGACGTGGTGGCTTTATGACGTGGAAACTCCTCGACTGAAAGAAACTGGACTATAGATTGGAACGTGTAAACAGATTACATAGTTAGTTCAATAAAACGGACAGCTCTTGCATACGTCCAAACTGACAAAATTTATCGTTGCGTGCACCTGGGGCTTTACAGTGGCATTTTTTGCCGAAATCGCGCGATATCCTCGTTCATATTTTTTTTAAAGTTCCAAATATCATTAAACTCCATCGGTAAACTTCGGATGAGTTACAAAAAATGTGGTAGAATAAACTGAGATTTTGAATTATTCTAATCTTTTTTACATTAAAAAAGAGTAAGATGATAGGTCTCTTGATTATGCGTGATACAGCTAAAGGTGTTGTTGTTGTTTTTTATTCGCAAAGCATGTGCAAAACAAAAAACACAAAAAAAACCCTGATAAGTTGGTCTATAGGCCTATATATTATAGATGAGTAATTATTATTAATTCAAAAAAAAAAACAAAAAAAAAAGTGTGCAGCAGTCTGGAAAATCAGATTGTGCAGAAACCGGCCGAACTGACACAAAAGCACACAGATGATGAAATGTCGATAGAAAAGCAGCCTGAAAGGTCTGAGTACACGTCGACCCTCGTTAAGCCACCATCCTTGTACGAGCATGGAGTTGGCGAAATCGCGGGGCTGGTGGTTTAACGGGATTCCTCTCTTAGAATTATAGCCCCAACTGCCCAATTAAATGACAAGATTCTGTTGTGTGATCTGTTTTGTTTTTGATAATTGTTTTATAGCGCTCGCAACTGCAGAAGGTCATAATATTAAATTTATAAGAACACGGGACACATTAAGCATTTTCTGTTTGGTAGAAATCAATTTGAAAATTTGCCCGGTGGCGGCTGAAGCCTACTCTTATTTATCGATTTTAGGAACCCAAAGGGATCTTAAACGTGCTCAACTTCAACAAGGGACCTCCGAGATTTTTTTTGCACTTATCCTACCAACTGAAAATATTTAGTGTGTCCAGCGCCGTAAAACACTTACCCAAATTTATTTTTTTTAAATTGGAACCCGAGACCTATTGATTATGAGAGGTGAACACCGTACCTTCTAAACCACTAGACTCACCGGAGGAGGGCTTCGACCGTGCCTGTCATGGCCAGACAGGCTGAGAAGGACATAACGTTCCAATAAAAAGATGAAGATACTCACTTTAACCCCCCCCCCCAAAAAAAAAAAAAAAAAAAAAAAAAAAAACACCACAAAAAACAAACAACACAACAACAAAAGGCAGAAAAAAAATATTTCCAAAAACAAAAACAAAAAAACAACAACAACAACAACAACAACAAAAAAAAAAAACCCAACTAAAAACAACTCTGATTTCTAGAAATTAACATACCAGTTCCAGGGTGTGGGAGTGATATTATGTAGCCTTGTATAGAATAACCTTGCGGTGTGTGCAGGCCTTACGGTCAGCCTTGAATGCATTCTTGCAGTAGACCATCTGGTAAACTGAGGTCAGTTACCTGGGACCTACTGCAGACCCCATTCCGTAGACCGTCAAGAGGACCGACACCAACTTCTCTCTCTCTCTCTCTCTCTCTCTCTCTCTCTCTCT